CTCATACAGTTGGCCTGGGCCCATCGATCCAGCCTGTCCAGGTCCCTCTGCAGAGCCTTCCTACCCTCGAGCAGATCAACACTCCCGCCCAACTTGGTGTCGTCTGCAAACTTACTGAGGGTGCACTCAATCCCCTCATCCAGATCATTGATAAAGATATTGAACAAGACCGGCCCCAAAACAGCCCTGGGGAACACCGCTCGTGACCGGCCACCAACTGGATTTAACTCCATTCAGTACAACTCTTTGGGCCTGGCCGTCCAGCCAGGTTTTTTTTACCCAGCAAAGAGTACACCCATCCAAGCCATGAGCAGCCAGTGTTTCCGGGAGAATGCTGTGGGAGACGGTGTCAAAGGCTTTACTAAAGTCCAGGTAAACTTTGGTAATTCCACAATGAATTTTGACATTTTGGAAAGTGAGAGGGCCACATGTCTTATTTTAATAATCTTTTTAAAAGCTGAAGGTTTAGATAAGTATTTTTAGATGGATGCTGTCAAGAAAGAAGTCTTTTTAAATATCTGATAGAATATGAAGATTCATAAAATCACTTGGACTTTATTTCTCATTTACAGAACTATGCTTTGTACCAGCACTCTTTCTGCACTTAATACATCTCTGAACAAGTTTCTTTTTAGACTTCTAGTTTTGGCCCTCTTCACTGTCAGACTCTCACATTTTTACCAGAAGGCCACAGTGTCCGGTCAATATTTGATTTTCACAAATGTCATTTAAGTAAAAAACTAACACATGTATTGGAACTAAATTTTATTAAAATCCATAATTTTGTCACTAAATGACTTGAAAATATTTCTTTATAAAGCATCTTTTTATGTAGTCTGGCAGCACTTGTAGTGCTGCAAAATAATGTTTTTATTTTCATCAAAACAGGACTTAGCAATACAACTTTCAGACTTTTGAGAGGTGCAGTCTGACTATTTCATCTCAATTGCAAGAAAGACTTTATTGTGGAGGGTCGGTTACTTCACTAGAGGAAATGAAGTTACAGGGAGGCAGTTAATGGCAGGCTTTCATCTGTTAATAGTGTTGCTTGTGGAAAAGCCAATACAGAACTACTTCTAAAAAAGAAAACTTTAAATCTTTTGTGGTTTAGATTTTGACATTGGAAACGGTACAGATCCTTCTATTGGAAACACCCCATGCTCTTACAGTAAGACTTGCACTAGGAGCCAGGCACTTGCAGTGTGTGGTGAGGTTACGCAAATCAGATGATGTTAGTGCCTGTTCTCTTACATGCCAAATGAGCATGCTGCTACCTCAGTGGCAGTTGCGCTTAACTAACTCCATTTCATACAGTGTGTGAATGTAGTACAGCTTTAGCCGAGTACTCGTGTTGCCCTCCTTAGAGGAAGTTGGCTGGCTTTCCAAGAATGTACCTGGCTTAATCTCTGTATGTAACGCTTCCGCTTTATTTGCTCTATGTATTTTGTGTACACAGCAGTCTCTTTCTTTCTTCTGTGGGGTTTTTGTACACTTGGTTAACTCTGAGTGAGGGTTGGGGCTTTTTTTTTTTTTTTAAACAATAAATCATAACTTTCCATTCAGAGCTTTTTCTTTGTGTCAGAATGGTCATATGGCTAACATAATGGGAAGCATTTGTTCAAATTTGGTGTCTAAAGTGAGCTTGTGTTGATGATTTCAACTAACTTGCTGTCAATAAAGAGTAAGAATTTACTCTCTGAAGAAAAGTTGGAAAATCGCTGTTTCCTATTCTTGATACGCGTGTGTTCATCTCATGTGGGTAAGGTGAAGGGGCTGTGAAATGAAATAGTCTTCTGTTTAGAAGTTACAGTTGTACAGAGCAACATCCTCATCCTAAAGCTACAGCCCCTACCAGGTCTTGTCAGCCAGCTAAACATACACCACTGATAGTTTAAGCCAGCCTGCGCTGCAGCAGATGAGCTGCAGCTCATCTTTGGTTTTGGTGACTGACTGTTGGTGGAGGGGAGCCTTGAAAAGCAGAGATGAATAAAGTGGGCTTTGCCCAGAGCAACTTTAAATAGAAGCTGTGTTGTTTCTGTTCTTTTTTTTTTTTTTCCAAAAAAATATATAGAAGTCTTATACCAGCTTCAAAACATTATTTCACTGTTAGAATAATCATCAAAACCTATGGGGAAATCAACTTTATTTAAGATAAACATCTGCATATGCAATCTGTTTCTTGAAGAGGGGACAGGTTTGCAGTCGTTCTACACATCTATAAGCCGGAGGCCAATGCTAGTAAATATTCCATACAGCAGCATGGCAAAACTCCTGAAGTGAATTATTGCCCATCTAAACTTAGATAAGGTGCTGTTACTTCCCAGAATAAGGAATAACTCCATCTATTATTGTGCCTGAGCTGGGAATTCACCTCATCCCCTTTCTCAATCTGAGACTTACTTAGATTGCAAAATGCCTATATTGCGGAATGTTTGCAGAATGTAGCTTGCATTTATAGATATTTAGAATTAAAGGGTAACCAGTTTGAGGTTGCTTTTTATCTTAACTGTATCAGAATGTACAAACACAGAAAATGGTCTCCCAGGGGCCCCTATATGTGTTACGTTTACCCAGTGTGCACATGCAGCCCGTGTTTTAGTGCTAGGCCAGAAAGGAATATTCCATTCAAACCCTTGTGTATGCTCAGAGGCAGCTTGCCCATTTCTGTTGCAAAAGCAACAGTTTTGGCTGCAGCTTGTTTCTGTGGGCCAAGGGCTGTGACCCAGAAAGCAGGCCAAGAGGATACGGGAAAGCAGTGCTCAGGCTGTTATGTGCTGGAGCACAAAGCTGGTGCTTTATTTCAGTTACTGTAGGGAGCTCCAGCATTGTCACTGCTGCTGCCTTCCTTGTTGGAGACAAGTCAAGGGGATGCAATCCGAGATCTTCTAAAGATCCCCTCCAGCACCTATCTTCTCGCAATTATCCTCATGTTTGTGCTCTTTGCAGAGTGTTTTAGTTTGGAGAGAATGTGAAACACATCAGACCACATTGGAAGACTCAGAAATACTCTCTGTGGTCCAAAAATGTCTGAGCTCTTGTAGGGAAAAGTTCCTTAAGTCAGTTTTGAAGGCAGTGCTCTGTTCTAGGTCCCTGGACAAAATGGCACATTAGTGAGCCTGTACCCCAACTTACAGAAATAATTTTCTAGTCTTTTTTTTTTTTTTTTTAAATCAAGCCCAAAAAGGTGACAGAGAGGGCTACTTGCAGCCAGCAGAGAAGGCACTTGAGCTGATGTGTACTGTAAGGGCATAAGTCATCACTAGGACATGGACAGAGTTGCAGCAAAACACAGCACTCCAGTCTCTGCAGTAACTGAGCTCTTACACTGGTAAGCATCAAGTTCACGGGCAGCGAGTGACAAAATTATGTCTGGCCCCCTGCTTTTTGCAAGGTTTCCTTGTCCATTGGGTTAGGGTTTAGAGTCTCGTCTCAAATTGTTCCATTCAGAGATACAGTGTACTAGAGAATATCTGTCCTGCCGGTCCAGGCCTGTTTGTGGAAAAGGTCTCTTCTTCCCTTAAGCTGAATTCTTGTCTGAAGTCCAGCGATGCTCAAGGCAGTTAGCTGCTGGCACTTTATTAGATCAGTTTGTTACTGCACCTCTCTTACCTCATGCCTCTGCCCTTCAGCTCCAGCAGCTAATTGTTTAAAGTGACAGAGTTGTGAATGGGGCACATAACCTCTTCTGCAGAGAATTTAAAGAAGCTGTCTTAGACTCGTTAAATCATGTATCAGACCACACAATGGGGAGACATTTTGCACATTCATTCTACAGTGTAATTGCACTCAAAGCCAGAGCTTTTTCCCTGCAGGGGAAACAGTTGTGTCAGTTGTTAACCAAGGGAAGCAAGCAGCAAGCAGGCTCCTAAGCAGAGAGAGCACAGTGGGTGCTCAAACTGTGAACCATGCCAATAGGGCCTGACAGTTAATACAAAAATCTAGCAGAGTTGTGGCTGTACGGATCTGAACTTCTCCTTATATAAAATGTTTACTGCCGCATCAAAAACTCTCCCTAGTTTAGCCCACTTGAGCCCCACTGAGCTGCTGTTGCAGCAGGATGGCTGGAAGTCCCTTGAGAAGAGATCTATGAGAGCAAGCAAAGGCAGGACGAACTGTTCATGCCCTCCTTATAGTGGGGGGTGTGTGTGCTATCTTAATGCATTATTGGCAGGAACATAGGTGTATGCGGTTTGCTTTGCAATGGGGTTAAGAGCAACAGTTCACATTTTCCATTCCAGCAACTCTGGGATCCATCTTGTCATCCCAGCACGCATGGGAATTTCACTTAGCAGTTCCTGCAGCCATTCTGGTAACACAGCTGACCGTTCCTTGTGCCCAGACACAGACCCAACCTTGTGCTTCAAGGTACAGTGCAGATGATCAGGCACCTTCTCCTCTGAGCTCTGCCCAGCACAAGAGCCAAACAAAAGTGTCACCCTTAAGCCAACTGTAACACTTCAAGCACATAGAACACTTCAGTCTTCGAGGCAGCTTCTCAGCCTGCTTGTTATGAGCAAATAGTCCCATGGACAGCTGAAGAAGCACCACGTACTTTCTAAAAAAATTGTGTAACAGGAGCTATGAACTTTCAGTAAGGACAAGGACAGGCTTACCGTAATGATTTCTGTGTTGGAAGTGGAGTGGTGGGGGGGAATTCCCAGCCATGGGTATCCTTTCCAATTTCCTCTTTTGAGGGGTTTGAATTGCTTATAAATACCCTCTCCGAGTCTGTGAGCACACAAGACAAGCTCCATCTCCTTTGGCTTTGCCTTTCTGCGGTGGTGAGTGATATTCTGAATTTGTGAGCTATATGCAGTGTTTTTAGCTGCTATTTGGGAACAGGACTAATGCTTTAGCATGTGGGGCTTCTCTGTACTCATGATAGGAGCAGCAGGGAATGCTAAAATGCAAGTCTCCTCTGTTGCAGAGTCCTTAGCTGAGCTTGAGGTCGCACAGAGGGCATCAGTCCTTGTGGGGGGAGAAGCGAGTTCCTGGGCTAGCCATCAGTGCTGGGGCAGCTGCCCAGGCACAGCTATGGGTGTGATGGATGGTATGTCAGCAGTCTCTCAAAGGTGCTCCAGAACTGCTCATCTCTCTGGTTGTCTCACAGCTCCGTGTCAGGCTTGGGCCGGGAACCATGAGGCTCTGTGTCTGCCTCGTGTTGCTCTCCTTTATTCTATGTGCAAGTGCTGATGTGCCATTCCTAACCCGAGGTGCACACTTTGTCCGGGATGCAGTGGGAGGTAAGTTGCTGTGACCACGGGCCTTTCTCTCAGGAACCCCCTCCCTGAGCACAGGTTACCAGCAGTCAATGGATGCAGTCCTCGGAGCTGGGAGGTCCGCAGCTCCACATGAGGGAACTCGCTGGTTTCTGCTGGTGGAAGAGGGCCTTGATCAGCCCCTGCAGGCCCTTTCCAGGGGCACACCCCCATGCAAAGGCCAATGTGGAGGAGTGCCTCTCTGTGTTACTGCTCCTTGGGCCTTTCAGCTCCTGGCTGAAATGATACTTAACTGTTTCTGGGATGACTCTTTAAAGTCAACATCATCTCCGTTTCTCTGCTTTCTTCAGGGGCACGGGATATGTTAAGAGCATACCAGGACATGCGTGAGGCAAATTATAAAGGTGCTGACAAATATTTCCATGCTCGTGGGAATTATGATGCTGCCCGAAGAGGACCTGGCGGTGCCTGGGCAGCCAAAGTGATCAGGTAATGGAGGGTATTGGACTTGTCAACAGCGAGTTACCAGGGATCCAGGCATTCCAGTTAGAGTGAAGTACTTTTTGACTTGTACTCAGCTTTTGACCTAGAAGGACAGTGGAGGGGAGAGGAAGCAGTTAATGTCTGAACAGCCTGGCTCTATAGGAATGGTGCTTCTCCTCCCACATGAGTGTATAAGGCAGATTCCTTACCTCTGCATTTCTGGTGATAAGGAACTCTCTTTCCTTGCTGGTTTGTTTCCTGACATAACAGTTACGGATTCCACTGTGGTTCTCAGACAAGGACTGAGTAAGTGCTTGCATCTCACTTTGAGAAGTCCTGTGGAAAAGCTAGTTTTACGTAAGTGAGGAAATCAACATAAAGGGAGTTAAATGCTCATAGGTTCAGGTGGCCTTTTTTCTTCCTGCTAGCGACGCCCGGGAAACATGGCAAAGCGGCGTGAGTGGCAGAGGCGCAGAAGACACCCGAGCTGACCAAGAGGCGAACGCGTGGGGCAGAAACGGCGGGGATCCCAACCGCTACAGACCTCAAGGCCTTCCCAAAAAATACTAACGCTGCCCCCCAGGAGACCATCTCTGCTCCCCTGTTACACCTTTTCTGTGCAGCCGAATAAAGAAATTCTCCTGAAAACTGCTCCCGCTCGCCGCTGGCTTTCCTTCGGGGCTGGGGATCTGAAGTCACCGCGCTGGCTTCGAGGGGAGCAGGACGCTCTCGCGGGCAGGTGCTCCCTGTGCGCGTCCCCGCGGGGCGATCACGGGGGCCACCGGCGCTGCCAAGGGGCGGGGGCCTCCCTTGGCCCCTCGGCTGCGCTGGGAGCCCGGGGGCTGCTTCCCGCGGACGGGGCGGCGGCGGTCAGAG